AGACAGTAGAGTACATATGCTGGACAAGCAGCGAATGAGCTTTAAACAAGCCATCGCTGACCTCTGTGAGCTGCTCTTCAGGCACTGTGGAGATATTCATCTTTACATTTCATATTAGAGGCCCTGAAATCTCAGCTCTTTTCTCTGGCAGCCATGGCTTGGCAGCCTGCAATCCTTTGAATGTAAACACACAGCAGGTGTTTCTAAATGGCCAAAAATTTATTATCTCCGTTGTGATCACCATGCCCTTCCCACCGGCCTTAGCCATATACAGTATGTGGCAGCACAGCAGTGGGCTTTAAACACCCTGCTGCAACATTTATGCACACAGTCAACATCGCCGTTCTGTGTTGGGAATGCAGTCAATTGGGCGTCCCCAGCACTGTGACCGAGCCATTACTGACAGCTCACAGTTACTGTTTATGATTGGGAGCAGGTAGGATGGGCTCCTGATCATGTGACCGCCTGATACAGGTGACACCCCTTTTAGGTGAGGTGAGCTCCCCCAAGGTGCAAAGTGACAATGTGGTCTTCACCAGGGCACCCAGCAACAATGATGGGCCAGAGACCCTACTGGCCCTGGGCTACTATGCGGCAAGCCAACACCAGGATGCAGACATCAGATTTGCCCCCAAAGGGGTCGCAGGAGTATGGGGGTTACATTGAGGAGAATGGTTGCGATGAAACTGCTAGGCCGATGTCTGGGCAATTGTCGAGGCAGGCGGCAAGCAAGACAGTAGTCATTATCAGGCAGAGGTTGAGGCAGACGGCAGGCAAGCAAGTAGACAGTGTCAAGCAGAGTTCAAGGCAGGCAGCAGGCAAGCAAGTAGACAGTGTCAAGCAGAGTTCAAGGCAGGCAGCAGGCAAGAGGATAACAGGAACAGGCAGAGTCAGCAACAGGGGCTGGAGATAGGAACAGAGCCAGACGATTCGGGTCAGCAACGGGTAATCAGAAGAGCAATCTCAATGCAGAGTGTAGCTTGTAAGAAGACAGAGCATCAGCGACCAGAAAGAAAAGTGTTTGAATACTCTACAAGCCGGTGAGCACGCCCAGTGTCAGGGACAGACAGCAATGCATGCTAAAGCTCACGCTGACACGCATGTCCAGCAATAGCCAAAAGGTCATGAGATGACGCGTGCATGCATGGCAGACGGGCAGGACGAGCCATGCCCTCGGTTGTACAGACAGATCTTAGAGCTACTGTAACACAGCCAATCACAGTGATCACATGATCGGGAAGTCAGGCAAACACCCCTGGCGTTAAGTTCCCCTTAAAGGGCCGGCTCCCACTGGCAGAAAGGGGTTAAGGATGAAATGCTCCACAGAACTTGCAGCTACTGAGGTCAGGGACGACTTGTTTTAAAGCCCTTTTAATGCCTGCTAAGAATATGTAAAAACGTTAACTTCCACAGTCTTTGCACTTTATATTGTATCTTGTTTACACTTTTTATCGTGTTGGTGAGCGCCAGAATGCCCAATTTGGTATCATTTATTCTTTCAGATTATGTTTTGTTCATAGGTTTTAAGGAAGAGATATAAATAATATCACAAGTTAAATCAAGAGTTGTAGCTGATGCTTTTTTTACCTCCTTTAAAATATAGAGATGTAAAGAATCAAACGCATGTTTCTAAAAATGTATTTCTTTTTATTCAACAATAAAATCATCGCTGTGAATAAATACATTTCAAACTTCATGTCCATAAAACTATAAACAAGGGTGGCTTTCCTCCACATGGGGTAGACAAATACACGGACGTATCATACACAATAGTACAGTAGAACAGTTACTCCGAATGTCACAATTCTTTCCTTTACAATGCCAAGAATAACAGCTGTGCGTCCGCAGATTGTGGTGGGGCCTGACATGATGAAACCCTGGGCCTTGCTTACAGCCACTGGTGACCTCTGCAGAAGGATCTCCTTGGTAGAACTCCCCATTCCATTTGCCATCCACTTCAGATGGTTTCAGGTAGGTGTTTGTGGGCTGAGGGTGAAGATCTCAGTACTGCAAAGCTGCATGTCCATCTATGATTAGCTTGTCCACAGGGTGACAGGGCCGGTCTTCGATTTCACTGAAGGATTAAAACTGCTGTGCTAAAGCCCAACTGAGCTTTTAGTTTAACTGCTTGAGTACCGGCCTCTATGTAGCCTCTATGCTTGCCTCTATGCTTGCAGCATTTTGAGCCAGCTGTGACAGTGATCCCTCCTGCCCGTCTCCTCCTCCGCTGCAGCAATAGTATGTTTCCTCATGTCTTATATACTGGGTATAGAACATGATGACTCAGGGACACACCAGATTTTGATCGCACCGCACTGGATCGCAGGCACAATGTGCCTTGCGATCCCATGCGGCCGATCGCATTGCGGCTGCAGGGCGTGGTAACGGTGCCATTCACTTCAATGGCCCGCCACGCCCCCTCCTCCCCCACAAAAAAGTGAGCCGGCCCCAATGCGATGATGTGCGTTCTGGCCAGAATCGGGCCTGAACGCACTGCATCTGGTGTGAACCTAGCCTAATAGCGGCTCCAAGGATGAGTATAACTTTTTTTAAACCTAGACAAAAATGAGCACTTAGCCCATGCGTTGTGGGGGTAGCCCCACTGCAAGGGTTAAGAAAAATTATGGCCAAAGTTCTGCTTTAAATATGGTTAATACATTCCAAGTGCTTCAAAACAAAAGGTGTACACAGTTTTACAGTTCATTCTCTTTATAGAGCAGCCACAGCCTGAGTAGAAAAGCCTGTCCCCTGCCAGCTTGCTGCAGAGAAGGACCTTTGCTCTGTGTGGGCCATTCACGGCTTATTCTCTCATGAATTGTTATTTTGTAACTAGACAATGATTTGTTTTCATTCTCTCTTCAATAGACACCCTAGTGAAAGTCACACTTATCACCAGGGTGAAGCTAGCAGTATCTGAAGCTCCATTCACACATGAGCGGTTCACTTCATTCACACATGAGCGGTTTTCCGCGCGTATTCGGCCGCACGAATACATGCAGAACCGCGCTAAACATAAAAAACAATGCATTGCAATATGCATTGTTCAGACTATTGTGGTAGGAAACCGCAGGCCCTGCAAAATAGTCCAAGCGCGATTCTATGGGCGGATTCCGCACGTTCCGGATATAGTAATAGCTGCAAATGTGCGGAATCCTCGCGTATGTTAACGCTCGCGCCGTTTTGTTTTGCACGGAGAACGCTACCGCTATGTGTGAATGGAGGATGAGGAAGGGGGAAACCCATGTGACAGTCTTTTTATATTGACATCTATATACTAAATACTTACAGATCAGTAACATAATGTATGAGCTGTAAATTTATCGAAAGCTTTGGCTTTTTGTCTGTACAATTAATTCCAAAAGCCTTCAAGAATCAAATACTGCCTCTGTTATCAATACTGTCTTTCTTCACAGCATTGAAGTGTATGTAAACCCAAAAACAAAACAAAAATTGGCCGAATGGTAATTGTACTCTCAGTCCTCCCAACTATAAAGCGTCTCTAAACCCAAAAGCAAATAAGTGACATATAACAGCTTACCTGTCCCTAGATGTGGTGGCTGCATTAGTTTTCTTTTTTCATATTTTTGTTATCCTCATCCAGACTTCCTGTCTTAGGGTGGCTACACTTACTCCTACACTGTATCTACCACTTTTTCTGGACAGCTTGGCCTGGTAAAGGAAGCTGAAAAAGGACGGACTTACTGGCTGGATCAACAGATTAAAAAAACTACAGAGAAGGAAATCAGAAAACAAAGACTGCTGTGTAATGCCGGTGACACCCACAGCAATTTATTACTTTTTTTTTTTAACTATAATTCCCACAAAGTTTGCAACAAAATGTCAGGTCCACTTCCACTTGAACCAAACAATTCCTCAGGAAGCTGGGCAGCGTGTAATGACTCGCCGCCTAGCCTCCTAATTGGTTTGGAAGCCTCAAAGCAGGAACCCGGACGGCGAGTCATTACCTGACCCACAACTTTCTAATTGGCCAGAATGTCGGCTTCATGCTCCTTCATCACCTGGTGATGAGGCAGTATGGAGCCGGCTTCCCGGCCAATCAGGAAGCCGGGTGACATGTAATGACTCATTGCCCGGCTTCCTGATTGGCCAGCTTCGACCAATCAGGAAGCAGGGCAACAAATCATTACACAGCGTCCGGCTTCCCAAATGGTCGGGGAGACGGCTCCATGCTCTCTCGTCACAAAGTGATGAGGGAGCATGGAGCCGGCTTCCTGGCCAATCAGGATGTTGGCAGCTCAGGTATCAGATGTAAGCAATGGAGCATTTGGGTGAGTACGAGTCACTTGGTGATGATGGAGCATGGAAACGGCTTCCTTGCTAATCGGGAAGCCGGGTGGCGGGTCATTACACGGCGCCTGGCTTCCCTAATGGGACTTCCGATATCGGAATTTGGTATCGGTGAGTACTGAAATAAAAATATCGGTACCTGTACTCGATACTGAAAAACCAGTATCGGTGCATCCCTAACATATATATAGATACAGTATATATATCTATAGATATATAGATATATATATACAAACATATCTCAAGCATGGGAGTGCAATTATTCTTTCAAATCTATACTTTCTGGTTAACAATACATTCATTTGCTGAACAGTAGCATATGTGACCGAAAATCAGTTGGGTATAAAGGACTTTTCCTCAGACCTTCAGCTAAAAATATTCCTTTCTGATAACTTCATGTACCTGTGTAATTGTATTTAATGTAACAGTTATTTTCTATATAGCAACTTATGGATTTTCGTCAATCTACCAGGCAGGTCTTGGCCAAGCTGCCTTAGGCCAAAGTCACACTTTTGATTCTGCATCCAATGGTTATCACCAGTGGGAGGTTTGAAAGTGTGACATGGCCCTCCGGGGTAAAAGCTCTTGGCTTATGCAGAACACCTTCTGTGGCCGTTATAACTCCATAGATAGGTCATACAGTCTTTCATATCCTGCATCTTTTTGTCTTTCCTGAGCTGGTCAGTAACATAGGTTCATTATGGAGCAACTCAGGACACTGGTACTATTTGCTGTAGCTCTAGCGTAGACGATATTGATGCAACTTTGACCTCTTTGTCGTCTACCTTTTCCTTCTGCAATATTTTGTGGGAAAGTCTGCCTAGAAACCAGTCTACATCCTGGTACTCCTCAGGCCATTTTAAATACTGACACCTTTGTATGTAAGTCCGTATTGGTTTGTATTGTCTTAATTGGTAGTCTGAGAGCGATCCAACCACCACCATGATCAGTATGTCCTTCAAATCGGTAAAATAGCGGCTTTGTGCATAATTAAAAGCTTCGACGCACCACCCATCCTTCAAGAACTGCTTGGTCACAATACAAATGGTCTTCTTGCTGCTCCAGATGGCATCACGAATATTTACAATATGATCTTCCCCAGGTATAAAGTTCCTTTCCTCAAAACACAGATTGAACCGGTTGCTTTCACAATACTCTGAATCCAGGTTTTTGAGAAAGACATTTTCCACCCACTGGAAATCTTTTTGAGTGTAGCACAAATAGGCATCATATTTGTGTATATTTTCCTCTTGGGTTTTTTCCTCAAGCACAGAGAATACCAGCTTCTTATAGAGACCAAAGAAAACTCCTCGGAAGTATTTGTATATAATCACAGAGGTCAAAAAAGTTACAAGAACGATAGAGGTAAACACAAACAAAGAAAACCTAAGATGCCTTATCAATATTTCATCATCACAGTCTTCGTATGTTAGAGTGTAAAGAGATGTGTACATAAAATTTTCAGGGTAGGAGCAGAAAATATTAGGAGGATCTTCCACGGTAGTGTTAGTTTGGTTTAACCATAATAGGAAATTTATAAGGGTGCAGTCACAGATGAACTGGTTAAACCCAATGCTAAGGCTCTTCACAGAGAAAAAAACTTCTGGGTTTGGTGAAAGCAGCTGGTTGTATGAAATATCTAAAGTCACCAAACCTCTGGGGAAAACACCTGGCATTAGATGCTTTAGAAAGTTAGAAGACAAGTTGAGGTGTTCCAAAGAGGTCAGTCCCATAAAAACGCCATCTGGAAGAAACTGAAGATAGTTGTTGGAGAGATGTAAATCCGTAAGAGCAGATAGGTTGCGAAACACGTCAAGGCACTGTGCATTTCCCCAAATTAGTTGTATCATATTGTTAGACAGATCTAGGTAGGAGAGGGAATTCTTTGTTGGGATTTGGTGGAAAGGATAACAGGTAGACAATCGATTTTGTTTCAAAGAGATCGCAGTTAGGTTGGTGATCTGTAGAAACTTGTGCAGCACTCCAAGGTCTCCCAACTGATTCTCCGCTAAGTCAATGATGTCAGATTTGAATGGATCGCTGTCAATTTTTTTCAGCTTGTTCTCCCTCAGATTTAGAAAATTAAGGTGCTTGATACTTTCACAAAATACAACGGATATAATGGCATTGCCACGCAGGTCTACAAGGTTTAAATGCAGAAGCTTCATAAAAGAGTCGTGTTGAATTGGCCCTATATGATTGTTGTTTAAGTATATTTTATGCATGTTTGTGAGGCCATCAAATGTATTGGTGTATATTTCCCCCAATAAATTATTAGAAAGATGTAGGAAAAGAAGTTGGTGCAGCCCTTGAAAGGCGTTTGGCTCAATACGATTTATTCTATTCGTTGAGAGGTCAAGCCGTAGCAAGCTGGAAAGATTTGCAAACACATAAGGCTTCAAAGAAAAGATCGATCCCTTTGACATGTTCAGAACCAGAAGATCACTGTTGACCAAACCTGCGAAAGTTGAATTATCTGGATCCCTGAGGTTCTGATAGCCAAACCCAGGGCCCATTAAGTGATTACTAAGTTGTAACTGTTGAATTTTGGTTCCATTTAAAGCGCTGCTCAGTGATTTCATGGCTTTTTCATTTAATGCCGTTCTAGACATGGCCAACGTGAGAAAATTTATTTTCCGGTAAGGATTTCCACATTTGTTCCATTCGCTGGCATCTAGCCAACCAAGGTTATTATTTGAAAGGTCAAAGAAAGTAAAAGTCTTCAGCTCAAAGCTGTGGAGATCTCCCTCACAAATTCTGGTTATTTTGTTGTCATCTAAGCTTAGCATTTTAAAGTTGTGCAAACGATAAAACAGGGGGTTGGGCTTTAGATATGTTATCTGATTAAAAGACAGCTTTAGTAACTCCAAACTAAGCAGATCCTTAAAATAGTCATTTTCCAGAATGGAGCTGTTTAGATTGTTGAAGGTTAAGAGAAGAGTTTCAAGTTTGGACAAGCCGGCAAAGGCATCCTGATCCAATACGAGTATTTTATTAAAGGATAAATCTAAAGTAATGAGGTTTGGTAAATTTCTGAAGCTGTTCTTATGTATTGTAAGCTTCTTAGTTTCCTGACCGCCAAGATAGAGGACCAGCATTTTCTCCAGAAGTGGGAACGACGTGGAGTTTAGTTCCTGAATGTAATTGTAACTTAAATCAGCGAATTGTGTGAAACTTTTCAGATAGGGAATTCGAGTGAAATTACAGGAACCAAGAAAGACGTTAATCCCAATGGTTTGACAGCGTTCTTCATTGCCGGAGACAAGGATAGGTGCACCAAAGAGAAGAAGTGCTATTTGGTAGAACACATGGCACCTAAACAACAGAAAAAAAAGATGGTTAGAACTCTTCACACTGACAGCCTGTGTGTTCACTTACAGCCTGTTCATACCAGCATCACACACTGCCACTGGCATGCGCTGTGAAGAAGGTGGTGCAATCCTGCTAAAGCCATGCCCCACCACACCGAAGCCCCGCCCCCAGCCCACCAAAGCCCTCCCCACACCACCCGGTGACCAAGCTACGTGTGAAGGAGGAGGAAGGGAGGAGATAGGGAGGAGCCTCCCTGTCTCTCACTTGCTTGTCACTGGTGAGGAATCGAGATTGATATCCTCAGTGGGTTTTTTTCTTTTTTTTTGATTGGACAGCTTGGACCAATGGCGCTTTGCCATTGGTCCAAACCATTCACAGAACCCGAGCCTCTAACATAGAGTAGAAGCTGTTGCAGCTCTGGCCTCACTATGTTAGGTTACACAAGCAGTGGGGAAGCCCTCTGCTGTGTAACCTAACTTAGCTGTCAAAAGCCGGATGCAGTGCTGCCTGCAATTAAGAGGCAGCTATCCATCCATGACAGGTTACACAGCGGGGAGGATTTCCCTGCTATGTAACCTGTAACACGCCAATCTGAATGGAGAAAAAGCTGTCATCCTCAGACTTGAAGCTGACAGCTTTTTCCTTCATAATACTACCGTAGGTGAGGCTCTGCCTCCCCTGACCGTACGTTCCTGGAACTGACATCATAGAACATCTATGCATTGGGACTGCGTTGGCCGCCCAGTGCAGCCCAACGCATTTGGTGTGAACAGGCTCTTCATGCAGAATGCAGTGTAATTATATTCTGAGCCGGGCTGTGTGACAACTCCGTCCTAGAGACAGGTCTACGACAGCCTGGTCTCTCAGGAAGTGGGTTGAATGATGGTGGTCATCTAGTGGAAAAGAAGAAGTACAGCGTGGGACAGCTCCAGGTTGAAGCTCAGTATTTTATAGCTGCCATTATTACCGGTAGCTGTTATTTTATTTTGTCGTTTTCTGGGCTGTTACTTTTTTGTTTGGAACTCTGCTTATAAACAATCTCCCACGTGCAGAGATTTTTTTTAAACCACAAGACCAACGAGTTAAAACCAATGTCTAATGACCACAGAAAGAAAAAGAGAAATGTGCGGCAGTATAAACATTTTTTTTTTGGATTTGTTTTGTTTTGGGTAGAAAGTGGAATGGATAGAACCTCTGTCAGGTCTGTCTGGCTGTCTGTGTCCCCAGTGGGGATATTCATTATGTCTATTTATCTTGGTGACTGTGTCACTGGGACATAAAGGGGCATATTTATGAAGCAGTTAATTTGACATTCACCAAACATTCATCACAGGTGCATCTTCCATGTGTATGTGTTTTAAATGACAGCGATTGATTCATCACCAGTGAATATTTGGTGAAAGTCACGCTTACTGCTCTACAAATGTGCCCCAAAATGATGAGGAATCCAACAAGTTACAGTTGTTTCTAGAGGGAAAATCTTCCAATGAGGACATTTGTTCTGGAGAGAAATGTCTTAAACCGGATTTCCCCTCACTTTATATCCTCTCATTTCCTGTTGTCTCTCTGAGAGAGGAAGTCAAGGGAAATCTCCTCAACAGTAGGGATGAGCTCAGGATGAACATAGAAGGAGGCCCTCCAAACACTCTGGGAATTCCCCGCCCGTACCCACACATAAGCAAAGGGGTGGGATGCAGTGATGTCATTGACCTTATATGGCCACATGGTTATATTTGGTCATGGACATATAAGGTCAATGAAATCAGTACAAGCATTCCGCCCCTTTGTTTATGTGCAGCCGGGGTGGGGAATGCCCTTCTGGAGCGGCCCATAGCACTTCTGTGCTCGGAGAAGCTCATCCCTACTCTACAGGACATGGACAGCAAATAAAGAGGACTGGCAAGCAGTTTTAGCATTTCCTACTTATCCAAAACTACATCAAACTTTTTGGCTTTAGGTAGACTTTACAGCAAATTGAGAGATGTTCTTATGTTGATCAGGCAGCTCCTGACAGACCACAAAGAGGGAAAAGGACAAGCCGACATCTCAAGAAACCTTGTTGCAGCATGTGCTACCACTTTAAAGTAGTATTAAACCCTCAGTCTTTTTTTCAATAAGGAATCCAGATCAAACAAATACACTTCGCCCAACAAAGTATTTCTTTACATCTTTTCCCAAGCGCTTTGCCCATCAGTCATCGTGTTTCCAAACAGCTGTTCCAACTCACTCAGCTCAGCTTCCCTGAACTTCCTGTCGACTACACACCACAAGGGACTGAGCACAAACCCATCCACCCTAAGGGTCCATTCACACCACAACCAGATCATCTCCAGACCAGATCAGATTGCTTCTGGACCCAAAATGCATCCTAATGTTATCCCTATGCTATTTCTGGCCTCTGTTCACACCAGCGCAGTCCGTTCCAGACCAGGCCAGAAAAATACTGCATGTCTCATTTTGTCTGGTCTGAAATGCACTGGAACTGCGGGCAGGTTCACACCATTTTGCAGACCAGATCTGGACTGGAAAATAGTGTGAACCTGCCCTAAAACTGGATGTCAGGGGCAGTGCTCAGGGCACTAGCTGATTCTACAGGAAGCAGCATCCATTGTTAGTCATTTCATTGGCATTTGAAACAGCTTAAAAACATTATGGCTTTAATATCACTTTAAGTTGCAGATTCTTGAGAACATGTTGGGAATGGATTTTGGCAAAAACATCATGTTTGTACCCTATTATGAAATGTGCATGGGGACAGTTTTGTGTCAGGGGCTTGTAATATGCTGGATGGAGCCTTATAAAAACTGGAAAGCTCAGTGCAGCCGCACCCAATAAATGAAGGAAGCAAATAAATGGAAAACATCCCGAAACCTTGTTATAAGTAGATTTGATATAATTTCAGCATTGGAGAGATGGTGACCGAAATAAAATATCTGCATTTAAAAGGACATAAATGTAAGTTTTCCATTGTCTGCCATGCATGAGCTGATTTTTTTTTAAAGTCCGTGATGCGTGCATGGAAGACTCGATCATCCCTGTGAACAAAAAAGTGAATCGTGAAATCATAACACACTAAAAAAATAGTGCACTAGGGTGCTGTGGTCCTCCTCTGATGAGGAAGGGCCTCAATTTTCTGAACCCCGGGGTGCAAGGCTCCTGACAGAGGCAAGAACGACTTAGGTCCACCTACCGGAAGGCTGGCGGACCCATCTCCTCATGGACCTGCCGAAACAGATCCACCGAGTACTAGGTGTGGGCTCTCCCGAAGAGAGACCCCCAAGTGGGAGAAGGTAGGGGAGCCTGTAGAGGCCACAGAACCTCCTCCCCGACATCAGGAAGGGCCCCGAAGGTACCCGCACGATCTGTCTTTTGTGAAGTCAAAAAGTGCCCAATCGTGCATAAAAAGTGCATAAATAATCGAGTGTCGGTGCACAACGCTGATAGGCCTTGCGGCCGAAGTGCAACAATATTGCCCCGGGTGAGCCATAAGGCCTGCCCTAGAGGCATAGTGCAGAAAAAACGGGAAGTGCTGTTAGGGTTGCCACCTTTTCTTCAAGTGAAATGAGTTGTTGTTTATTCATATGTAAATATCACAGTCAAGACTATTTTCAGTGGGGGGCCAGTAGCCCCTATCCTAATTTTGGTTCCCCCTGTCTGCCTGACATCTTGTGTCCGGGTTTCTGCTGCCATAAAACCCGGACACAGCCTTCAAAACCTGGACTGTCCGGGTGAATCCTGGACAGGTGGCAACCCTAAGTGCCGTGCCATGCAGGAGCTGATGTGAGATCTGAAGCCCCTTCCCATCTTATCCCTGGCCCACAATACCAGTAGGACATTATAAGAGTAGATTCTATGTACCATTCTCTGCTTAGCAATGGAAACTTTTATATTTTACTAGGACTGCAAATTATTTATTTTATGAAGTTCTAACAAAAACAGGACATAGCAGGTTCCGCTGTTATGGGCTCCTTCACACTATGCTTTTGTAACTAACGCATTTCTTTGCTGTGTTTGAGGCCATCATTGATTCTGAATGGGCAGGAAGTGCATTGTAGTGCAAGAGAAAGTAGACACGCCCCTTTTTTAATGCAGCGGGTCACATCTGCGAGTGGCATTGTGCTACAATACAAGTCATCCTCAAATTTCAAAGTAGAAGCCCTAAAGTTTTGCAAGTAATTCTCTTAGCAGCCCAGCTACACCTCCCAGCAGTGACTCGGCAACTCAGCTTACACGGCTTACCCTTTTTCTTCCTGCTCTGTGTTCACATTAGGGATTAAAAGGCTGGTAGATTGCTGAGTCGCTGCTGGGGGGGGGTAAAAGAGATGCGGAGGTGGCTTGCATAAGTTAAGTCCTTCTCTTGTGAACTTTGAGGATGCCTGTAGCTATAGAAGTCAGTGAGGGCTTGTTTCAAATTTTACTGCCCCCCGCTGTATGGCATACGGCAGCTGCAGAGGGGCCCTGCTATAGCAACTGGGAGTCCTCTTAAATGTGTAAAGCCGACTGTTGGCTTTACACTGGAAGTGATTCAGGTGGCTTTGAAGCCATCTGATAAACTTCCATGGGCCATCAAAGCTGCCACCCCAGCCGCCTGACCCCTCCGCCATGTATCTCAGCATCTTCTTCCCCTCTTACGGGCCTGGGACTAGCATGGCGGCTGTGGTCTTCTAAAGGCAAAAGGAGGCCAACGAACGTCCGTTCACTGATCCCCTACTCCATTGTGTGAACCTGGAAGGGATGAGGATTTTGTCACTTCCAGTTTCTGAGCTGTGATTTCCTGGTCACTGTGGTTGAAGCTGATTATTATGCACGATCTTTGCCTGATCAGCTTCACTGGACTGCACAGGTGACATTAGGGGTCTAATAAACCCTTAACGTCTCCTTAAAGAGAACCTGTCACCTTCATTGTGCTGTCACAAAGGGGGCTTGTTGGCCTGTAAAATCCTTTAAATCGTTGTCTATGGACAATTATGGGTAGTTTTTTGCCACTTCACGGGACGTACCCAACTTTGAAGCTTGACATATTTGGCATGTCTTTACTCATCTTTTATATTTCACCAAAAAATGGTTATGTACTAAAATTTAAGTATTTTTTTAACTGAACATTTGTGTATGTGACATAAAAAACTGCAACTGCCACCTCCAGGTTATTTGCTTTCAGAAAATGTATACTTTTAGGGGTTTTTGAATACTCTTCAGGACTAAAATGTGCATTTTAACATGTGTGGAAAAAAGGCTTCTGGCGAAAGGGTTAAAGCTCACTAAGGCCCCGTTCTCACCACGGCGGTTCGGTCGCACGGATTTGTCCACGCTGAACCGCCGACATGAACGATCCCATACATTTCTATGGGGACCGTTCATGCGACCGCACGGCTTCTGCGTGATCTGAACCACCTGCTGCCCAAAATGCTCCCTGAACTCTAAACCTTTTTTTCCGCGCTGATCCATATAGAATTGAATGGAAACGTGCTAATCTGCGCGTTTTTGGAGCGTTTTAAATTAAATTTCAGTGCTAAAACGCGATTAAAAACAACCAAAACTGCCCTTTTAAAATTCTTGTGGAAACCGCGCTGAAACGCTTCGGCCCTGGTGTGAATGGGGCCTTACTGTGAACGCCATAGCCTGGCCTCAGTTTCAGGTTAAAGTGACATTAAAGTCAAAAAAATGTCCCCTCCCCCCAATGTTAAATATTAATGTTAGCACTTACCTTAAATGATGTCTCAATCCGATCTTCTTCTTTCCTGATGTTTTCATCTGTCCCTCCAGCGGTGCGGCGGCTCTCCGATCCAGCGCTGACTCCTCTGTCCCTGCAGGCACTTCCGATCCCGCGGTTTCTGCAGGCGGGTGCACGCGTCCGTAGACTTACCTTGCGTCTCTGCTCGTCTCCCGTCCGAGAATCCGAACTGCGCATGCGCCCGCCCCAAGATGCTTTGCGGCCGCACGAGCAGTTTCAGATTCTCGGACGAGAGCATGCAGGGATAATGAGGTAAGTTTAAACCGCTATTAAATCGGGTTTAAAAAAAAACTAAAACATTTTGCCTATATCTACTGCTTGCTACCGTGTTTCCTCGAAAATAAGAACTAGCACTATCTTCAGGGATTTTCAGCTGCAGCCAGGTAAGACATCCCCCGAAAATAAGACCTAGTGTCTTTTTTCGTAGAAAAGACACTGTCTTATTTTCGGGGAAACACGGTAGCAGTAGATATAGGCACAAAAAAACGGAGGCTTTAGAACCCCTTTAAGTTCTCCTGCAGCCTGATGAATCAGAAAAGGTAAATAATATGCAAATTAGCTGATTGCCTCGCATCTACTGTATGTACATGTATATATGCAAATAACTGACCATTAGCCTGGCCATAGGCCCACTTTTAGGCAATCTAAAGTGCATCTGAGGCATGCTAAAGTGGCCCCATGCACCAATAGTGTTGCACTTCAGCATGCCGTAAGCACTAGTCAGCAGGAGGTTTGATGATCAGGGCCAATATTGTTCATGGGTTTTTGTTGACAGGCCCAAAGTACAAGGAATCTCTTGTCTGACTGCTTGAACATGTTTGTGGATCAGTTGGCATCGGGCTGGCTCTGGATCTCTTGGCGCCGTATGGCAGCGTAATGTTGCTATACGTGTTTTCTCCCTTTCATCGGGATTCCGTATTGCCTCACCACTTGCTTTCTGAAGAGCTTTCTGTTGTGCGGCTTCTTGTCTCACTTACTTCTTAGTTATACTTCCTGCCAATTTACTTTGTCAGACATACAGAGCAGCGGAGTATCACTGTGCCCATTGTGTGCCGGGCGCTGGCAGATGTATAACAGGAAGGCAGCCATATAACCTGCTGTTGGCTGTGCCCTGTCATTATCCTTTCCTCCTCCATTCAGTGTGGTTTATATCTGTCCAGCACAAAAACAGCTGCAGATATCAGCGTATTGTTTCCATTCCTCGCTCAGCTCAGACCGCCCTTCTAGTCTTCACCTGATTGGCTGATCCTTTTCCATTGTTGGGAAAGTTACTCATTCATATTACATTGCAGTAAAATGAAGATAAAAAGAGCCGCATATAGTAAAAAGTAAGGATACACCGATACCGGTTTTTCGGTATTGAGTACCAGTACCGATATTTTTTTCCCGGTACTCGCCGATACCGAATACCGATACCGGAAGTCCCGTTAAGGAAGCCGGGTGGCGTGTAAAGACTCGGCACCCGGCTTCCCGATTAGCAGGGTAGCCGTCTCCATGCTCCCTCATCACCAGGTGACGAGAGAGCATGGAGCCGGCTTTCTGGCCAATCAGGAAGGCGGGCGCCATGTAATGACGCGTTGCCAGGCTTCCTGATTGGCCGAGAAGCTGGCCAAAAAAAAAAGCCGGGCAACGCGTCATTACGCAGCACCCGGCTTTCTGATTGACCGGAAAGCCGTCTCCATGCTCTCTCATCACCAGGTGACGAGGGAGAATCAAGCCGTGGGGGCGTGTAAAGAAACGCTGCCCAGCTTTCTAATTGGCCGGGAAGCCCTCTCCATGCTCCCTTGTCACAAGTCATGAGGGAGCATGCAGCCAGCTTCCCGGCCAATCAGGAAGCCGTGCACTGTGTAATGACTTGCTGCCCGGCTTCCTGATACCGGAAGCTCAAGTATCGGGGCATTTGGGTGAGTATTATTACTTGCCCAAATACTCTGCATCGGCACCGATAGCGATACTAGTATTGGTGTCGGTGCATCCCTAGTAAAAAGGTGTCATGATTACGGCGGACTTTCAGCGAGTGTCCTGTATTACATGAGACTGTTAGAATGCCTTCAGACTGTTAAATGCTGCACCATTGTTACAGGAAACTGTTAAGGTAGAAAGAGCTGAATTTGGATTAGTGTCTCCCACATTATGATTTCCATTCCAAGACCTAAAAGTAGAACTGAAGCCAAAACTTTTCTGTTTTTAGTTTTAGAGTAAGGGAGGGTTGTAACTCCCGTGAGTTATTTTTTGCCATCTGTGTCCCATTGGAGAGATTTCCCTTCACTTCCTGTCTGATAGCCACAACAGGAAGTGAGAGAACATTCCTGCAAAGTGAGGGAAATCCCTGGTCCGCAGGGTCACCAGAACTAGTGTCCCCATTGGAAGATTTCCCTTCTATTCCCATTCTGATGACAACCCAAAATTAGGAATTTTCATTCAGTGATAACGTTCACCAAGACAAATAGAGAGAGTGAATCTCCCTTATGGGGACACA